CCATCCCATCCACGTTGTCGCAAATGGCAAGATTTCATTCTTCTTGATTGTGGAGTAATATTCCATTACGTATGTATATATGCACGTATGTGTGTTTACACACACACACACACACACACACACACACACACACACACACACACCCCACATCTTCTTTATCCATTCATCAGTTGATAGACATTTGGGTTCTTTCCACAATTTGGCAATTATTGATAGTGCTGCTATAAACATTGGGGTGCACGTGTCCCTTCGACTCAGTATTGTATCCTTTGGATAAGTCTCTAGTTGTGCAATTTCTGGGCCATAGGATAGTTCTATTTTTAATTTTTTGAGGCACCTCTATACTGTTTTCCAGAGTGGCTGCACCTGTTTGCATTCCCACCAACAGTGCAAAAGGGTTCCCCTTTCTCTGCATCCTCGCCAGCATCTGTTGTTTCCTGAGTTGCTTATTTTAGCCATTTTGACAGGTGTAAGGTAGTATCTCAGTGTGGTTTTGATTTGTATTTCTCTGATGATGAGTGATGTCAAGGAACTTTTCATGTGTATGTTAGCCATCTGGATGTCTTCTTTATAAAAGTGTCTACTCATGTCTTCTGTCCATTTCTTCACTGGATTATTTGGTTTCTGGGTGTTGAATTTGCTAAGTTCTTTATAGATTTTGGATACTAACCCTTTATCCAATATGTCATTTGCAAATATCTTCTACCATTCTGTAGGTTGTCATTTGCAAATATCTTCTACCATTCTGTAGGTTGTCATTTGCAAATATCTTCTACCATTCTGTAGGTTGCCTTTTAGTTTTGTTGATTGCTTGCTTCACTGTGCAGAAGCTTTTTTATCTTGATGAGGTCCCAATAGTTCATTTTGTCTTTGTTTCCCTTGCCTCTGGAGATATGTCTAGTAAGAAGTTGTTCTGGCTGAGGTCAAAGAGGTTGCTGCTTATTTTCTCCTCTAGGATTTTGATGGTTTCCTGTCTTACATTTAAGTCTTTCATCCATTTTGAATTTTTTTTTTTTTTGTGCATGGTGCAGCAAAGTGATCCAGTTTCATTCTTCTGCATGTCACTGTCCAGTTTTCCCAGCACGATTTGTTGAAGAGATTTTTTCCATTGGCTGTTCTTTCCTGCTTTGTCGAAGATTAGTTGGCCATACATTTGTGGGTCCGTTTCCATTTGGTTATTTAAAGAAGTATTTTGTATTTTTCTGTTGAGAGTTTTTTTTTTTCAACGTGTTTTTTTTTTATTTTTTATTTTTATTTTTTTTATTTTTGGGACAGAGAGAGACAGAGCATGAACGGGGGAGGGGCAGAGAGAGAGGGAGACACAGAATAGGAAACAGGCTCCAGGCTCCGAGCCATCAGCCCAGAGCCTGACGCGGGGCTCGAACTCACGGACCGCGAGATCGTGACCTGGCTGAAGTCGGACGCTTAACCGACTGCGCCACCCAGGCGCCCCAAGAGTTTTTACTATTTATTCACTCATTGAACATGTTATAAGAGCTGCTTTAAAAGCCTTGTCTGACAATTCCAACACCTTAGTTCTCTCACAATTGGCTTCTGTTGGTTGCCTTTTTGTCCGAGAATAGGTTACATTTTTGTGGTTCTTTGGATATTCCATAATTTTTGGCTGTATCTTGGACATTATAATTGTTATGCTGTGACACTGGATTCTTTTATAGTCTTCTTAAGAGGTTTAGTCAGTATTTTTGTTTTAATAGGAATTAACTTGTTTAGGCTTAATCTTTAATGTTTCTCCTGTGATTGATGGCAGGTCAAATCTCAATTTTCTTTTAGCCTTAGTTGCTAGCTTCTTTGAGTTTGCCTTGCCTATTTGTGTTTCAGGATCACCCGCTGACACGGGCAGTGTCCATATATAGAATTTGGGATTCTCCATCTCCTCCCCTCTCCTCCCCAAGACTCCCTGCGCTGGTCATGCTTGTCCCAGGCTCCATGTGTTAGTTCCTCAGGCTAAAAATGTGGAGGCTTTCTACTGGAGTTTTAGCTACCTTACAATGTTCTGAGACTACAACTCAGACCAGACCACAAAAAAGGAAATTCACCCTGTGTTGGTCCCTTCCTTCAAGTTTTTACTCCCCTCCAGTATCTGCCTGCTTCTGTTCGTTTCGCAGAACCTTAAGGTGATTGTTTTTTGTTTTTTAGCCAGTGTTAACAGGGGTTAGCCTGATAGGAGCTAGCCTGATAGGGGCACACTCTACCATGCCAGAAATGAAACCAGCACATCTGTACCTTTAAAAGACAGCCCAAATCCAAGCCACCCTTGTTTCTCATCTGGATTATGGCAAAGGCCTCCCATCTAGTTTACTTATCCTTAAATGACCAAGGGTGAGAAGGCTGATTATAGTTCCATCCCTTCGCTCCACCTTATTAGTTTGGAGTCATTTTCAGATCCAATGATGATAGGACGGTAGACAAGAGATCTTTTCTCTGGAAGATGGCCCCATGGTATATTCACCTTCTCTGGAATGGCTTATCCTGACTTTATTCAAGATAGCAAAATCCCCCTTATAGTTTACTTTTTCTATTCAATAAGACTTCTCTCTCCAAATATACTATACACTTTACTTGTTTGTTGTATTTATGGACTGATTCTCACTACCAGAATGTAAGCTTCATGAGAGCAGCAATTTTTGTGTGTTTTATTTACAGCCATCTCTAGAGCCTGTAACAGTGGAGGCACATAGTTAAGTGTAACATAAACACCCAATTCACAAATAATTACTATACCAATCTACTATAATTTCTATTTTTACACCCCTCAATTCTCCACATGCCCCTCCAGCCAAAGTTCTTTTGAACTTATGTCAGAAGCATTAGTCATTCTATTCTACTATGTACTGTGCATTATGGTCTAGACAAAAGGCAAATTCCTTGTAAACAAGAATCTTCTTAAGGAACCTGACCATTTCTTTTAATGTTTTAATCTAAACTCTATAGGACACTGTATCAGTCAGGTGAGCATCTGGCTCTTGATTTCAGCTCAGGTTATGATTTCATGGTTTGTGGGATCTGAACCCCCCATCAGGTTCTGTGCCGACAGCATGGAACCTACTTGGGATTCTCTCTCTCTCCCACTCTCTTTGTCCCTCCCCTCTCTACTTTCTCTCTCTCAAAAATAAATAAACATTAAAAAAGTTTTCTCAAGGGGCGCCTGGGTGGCTCAGTCAGTTAAGCATCCAACTTCGGTTCAGGTCATGATCTCACAGCTTGTGTGTTCGAGCCCCACATCGGGCTCTGTGCTGACAGCTCAGAGCCTGGAGCCTGCTTTGGATTTTGTGTCACCCTCTCTCTCTCTGCCCCTCCCCAGCTTGTGCGTGCATGTGTGCTCGCTCTCTCTCTCAAAAATAAATAAACTTTAAAAAAATTAAAAGAAAGTTTTCTCTAGTCTGACATCAAGAGTCAGAGCATAATAATCATTGGCATATACAAGAGACCAACTTCTGATCTTATTCTCAGATGAAAAGAGACACAGGTTAAATCATAGATAATGGTATATACCTAAAGTGAAAGTTTCACTTTGACTACCTCTTAGCAGATTTTTACTCTAATGTTTGTGAACAAGACCTGTGCCTTGGGCATATATATGAAAAGCATTATATGAAAGTATGTTGGATTGGCTTGGCCACTGGAATGAAATATATTTAGGTTTAAGCTATATTTGCATTCATTCTATATTTTCAGTTTTGCATTATATAAGAATATATTAATGAAAGAGCTTATAAGACAATAGGATTATAAGAAGTTTCACTTAAGTATCTGTGTGTTGGTTTCTCCATCCATAGATCATAGATCCCTGGATGATCACAGACAGAGACTGAGCTAATTTTTAATTTCTCTAGACCTCTGTAATTTCCAAGGAAGATATGCATATTGACAATGACAGACTAGAGAGGAGAGTAGAAAAGGAAGGCGATGCTGACAGTCACTTGAGCCAGGGTGGTAGTTCCTTTTATTCCTATGGGGACTCACAGGAAATCCTTGGGGGCAGTGTTGGGTAGTGAGCTGGAGGCTATATTCCAGAGCAAGTTAAGGCAGGCTAGACCATACCATGGGGCCCTGAGTGGAAGGATCAAGACTGAACTGCAGGCCCCTCATCGGCTGCCTAAGCTCCCGCCAATACGCTCCAGTTGCATTGTAAGACATGAACTTTTTTGCAGGGGGAAGCAAAACTGTTTGATTTAATAAACAAAATTCTCACATATCATTTTAAAGGAAAATTCCTTTCAAGGACACCTGAGATTTTCACAGAGGCAAATTATCTCATTTGGGTAGAATGCTGGACTCTCAAGGAGAGTTCTGTACTTCAACTACAGAAACAGCTGATTTTCAAGAAGTTAATTCTACGCAAGGGTATTTTGAATGCTCAATAAACTCCAGAAGAATAAGAAATGAAGTATTTTAACTTACTCTGCACAGCAGCCATGAAAAGATAGCTAACATAAGTGTTTTCATGTGATAATCAAGAAAGATTAAGTTTTTGAGGGCAACTTTGTGTTCTCAAGGCCTCGCAGAAAAACCTGGCAAAGAGAAGGCTCCTCAGAGAAAGCCAGTTGAGTGATGAAATCAATCACTTGTACCCTGATACTTTAGAGCACTTTGCTAAATTGGTAAAGAGTCAGCAAGAGAACTAGGCATATTAACAGACACACCAGAGGTACATAGAAAATAAGTTGGTTACACAATAATACTTTTTGTATGAATATGAAAATTCACATAATAGAAAGAACAAATGAATCCACACAGAACAAATACAAATTATAACACAAATTCTATTCTAAAAGAAAATTATTTGTACTATTTTGAGGAAGTAATTATGTGGTAATTATTAAATAGATTAATATAATGGTTAACAATCTTCTTTATTTACTTATTTTAAGAGAGAGAGAGAGAAAGCATGCATGCGCAGGGAGGGGGCAGAGGGAGAGAGTGAGAATCCCAGGCAGACTCCTCACTATCTCAGAGTCTGATGCAGTGCTCAATCTCACAAACCTTAAGATCATGACCTGAGCCAAAATCAAGAGTCAGATGTTTAACCGACTGAGCCACCTAGGCACCCCAATGGTTAACAATCTTAGTAGATGTGTATACAGAAAAAATAATTTTTCAACAAAGGTAATGCATTCGCTATACAAGGGGAATCTATGATATTAAGGAAAAAACACAAAGGACACTTTAAATTCTGGCTGTTTATAGGCTTTGTTCTTCTATTACCTCATTATCACTCCAAAGCAAAGTAGATGTTTGTTCCACACTGACATCAGAAGCTGGCTACTTGAAGGGAAGAAGTATAAATGAAACATTCTGGTCTATTTATCTACTCATCCAGAAAAGCCAATATTTGTTATAGTTTGCTATAAGACTATTGCCAGCTACTTTAAGAAAGTATCACTACCAAAACTTTAAATATCAGTCAGTTCAAGAATTCTTAGAAATTTTAGTCTTTTAAAAAATTACTGAAGATTGTAATATACATTATATGCATATAGCATATATAGTTTTTCCCCACAAATACAGGTCATACTATACCTACAATTGTAAACTTGCTGTTTTCACTGGACAATATTTGTGTGTGTGTTTTTTTAATATATAGAATGCGTTTATGTAGAAGCAATCCCTGCTGTAGGTAGATTGATTCTAAGATGGTCCTCCAAATTTCTCCCTCAATCCTGGGGTTGCAAATTCCTGTGACTGTAAATATAGTGGCTTTTACTCCCATGATTAGGTTATGTTATATGATACAATTGAACGTAAGATAGGGAGATTATCTGGGTATGACCCAGTACCATGAATCTTTTATTTATTTATTTTTTTTGTGTGTGTCTTCTATAAAAATAATTGTTTTGTATATATATGTATATATATACACATACATATATGTATGCGTATGTATACACACATGTATATATATGTACACATACATATATACATACTTATATATATACAAAATTTATTGTCAGATTGGTTTCCATACAACACCCAGTGCTCATCCCAACAGGTGCCCTCCTTAGTGCCCATCACCCACTTTTCCCCTCCCTCCCATCCCCCATCAACCCTCAGTTTGTTCTCAGTATTTAAGAGTCTCTTATGGTTTGCCTCCTTCTCTCTCTGTAACTTTCTTTTCCCCTCTTCCCCTCCCCCCTGGTCTTCTGTTAAGTTTCTCGGGATCCACATATGAGTGAAAACATATGGTACCTGTCTTTCTCTGTATGACTTATTTCACTTAGCATAATACTCTCCAGTTCCATCCACATTGCTACAAATGGCCAGATTTCATTCTTTCTCATTGCCAAATAGTATTCCATTGTATATATAAACCACATCTTCTTTATCCATTCGTCAGTTGATGGACATTTAGGCTCTTTCCATAATTTGGCTATTGTTGAAAGTGCTGCTATAAACATTGGGGTCCAAGTGCCCCTATGCATCAGCACTCCTGTATCCTTTGGGTAAATTCCTAGCAATGCTATTGCTGGGTTATAGGGTAGTTCTATTTTTAATTTTTTGAGGAACCTCCACACTGTTTTCCAGAGTGGCTGCACCAGTTTGCATTCCCGCCAACAGTGCAAGAGGGTTCCCACTTCTCTGACCATGAATCTTTTAAAAGTACAGAATTCTCCAAATAGTTGCAGAAAAGGAAGTCAGAGGTTCAAAGCATGGGAAGGATTCACTGCACTGTTGCTAACCTAAAGATGAAGGAGGCTACATAGCAAGGAAAGCAGGTGATCTTTTGCTGCTAAGAGCAGCTCCCAGATGAAAGCCAGCAAGGAAATGGGAACCTCAATCCTACAACTTTAAGGAAGTGAATCCTGCCAACAACCAATGACCTTGGAAGCATATTTCCCCTAGAGATTTCAGACTAGATCATAGCCCAGTTGACACTTTGACTTCAGCTTTGTGATACCCTGAGCAGAGAACCCAGCCATGTTATGGCAGACTTCTAACCTACATCATTGTGAACTAAAAAATGGGTCTTTTTGAATTTATAATTTGTTGAAATTTGTTATGCAACAATTGAAACCTAATTCAGTTTCCCTCTCACTTCTTTTCACCTCTGTCTTTTCAAAGGTTATACTACTATATACTTAGTTATCTTTTGACTTATGGACATTTAGACTGCTTTAAGATATTTGCTACTATAAAGATAACATTCTTACACATATGAACACAAGTTTATTGGTATCAAGTTGTTCACAGTGTATCTATGTAATTTTAAAAATGTGTCCTATGACTCCAAAAGCACAAGCAACAAAAGAAAAAAATTGATGAAGTGGACCTCATCAAACCCAAAGCTGCTGTGCATCAAAGGACATTATCAAGGAAGTGAAAAGACAACCTACAGAATGGGAGAAAAAATTTGCAAATCATATATCTGATGAAGGTCTAATATCCAGGAAATTTATAAAGAACTCATAACTTAACAAAAAGACAAATAGCAATCTTGAAAAAGAAAAACAGGATTGGAGGTATCACAATTCTAGACTTCAAGTTATATTATAAAGCTGTAGTAACCACAACAGTATGGTATTGGTACATAAACAGACACATGGATCAATGGACTAGAATACAGAGACCAGAAATAAATTTACACTTATATGGTCAATTAATCTATGACAAAGAAGCAAGAATGTGCAATGTGAAAAAGACAGTTTCTTCAACAAAAGGTGTTAGGAAAGCTGGACACATGCAAAAGAATGAAATTGGAGCACTTTCTTACACCATACACAAAAATAAACCCTAAATTGATTAAGGGCCTAAATGTGATACCTGAAACCATAAAAATCCTACAAAAGAGCCCAGCCAGTGATTTCTCTGACATTAGCCATAACAACATCTTTCTAGATATGTCTCTTAAGTCAAGGAAAACAAAAGCAAAAATAAACTATTGGGACTTCATCAAAATAAAAAGGTTCTACAAAGCAAAGGAAATGACCAACAAAACTAAAAGGCAATGTACTGAATGGAAGAAGATATTTGCAAATTACATATCTGACAAAGGGTTAGTATTCAAAATATATAAAGAACTTATACAGTCCAACACCCAAAGAACAAAGAATCCAATTAAAAAATGGGCAGAAAACATGAACAGACACCTCTCTGAAGAAGACACAGAGCTGACTAACAGACACATGAAAAGATGCTCAACATCACTTATCATCAAGGAAATGCAAATCAAACATACAATGAGATATCACCTCAAACCTGTCAGAATGGCCAAAATAAAAACTCAAGAAATGATAAGTGTTGGTAAGGATGTGGAAAAAAAGGAACCCTCATGCACTGTTGGTGGGAATGCAAACTGGTATAGCCACTGTGGAAGCCAGTATGGAGGTTCCTCAAAAAAATTAAAAATAGAACTACTCCATAATCCAGTAATTGCATTGCTGAGTATTTACCCTGAGAATAAGAAACCAATAATTTGAAGAGATACATGCACCCCTATGCTTATTGCAGCATTATTTATAATAGTAATTTATGGAAGCAGCCCAAGTGTCCATCAATGGACGAATGAATAAAGAAGATGTGAGATATCTATAACACACACACACACACACACACGAATATTATTTTTTTTTTTAAGTTTTTTTTTTTCAACGTTTATTTATTTTTGGGACAGAGAGAGACAGAGCATGAACAGGGAAGGGGCAGAGAGAGAGGGAGACACAGAATCGGAAACAGGCTCCAGGCTCTGAGCCATCAGCCCAGAGCCCGACGCGGGGCTCGAACTCACGGACCGCGAGATCGTGACCTGGCTGAAGTCGGACGCTTAACCGACTGCGCCACCCAGGCGCCCCCACACGAATATTATTTAGTCATAAAAAAGAATGAAATCTTACCATCTGCAATAATATGGATGGAACTAGACAGTATAATGCTAAGTGAAGTAAGTCGGTCAAGGAAAGACAAATACCATATGATTTCACTCATATTTAAGAAACAAAACCAATGAGCAGAGAGAGACAGACAGACAGACAGACAGACAAACCAAGAGGCAGACTCTTAACTATAGAGAACAAACTGATGGTTGCCAGAGGGGAGGTGGGTGGGGGTATGGGTGAAAAGGTGATGGGGATTAAGGAATATACTTGTCATAATGAGCACCAGGTGATACATGGAATTGTTGAATCACTATATTGTACACATGAAACTAATATAACACTGTATATTAACTACACTGGAATGAAAATTTTTTAAAAATATTCCATTGTTTATAGCAGTATTAACAATACGCAAATTATGGGAAGAGCCCAAATGTCCATTGGCTGATGAGTGGGCAAAGAAGATGTGGTATGTATGTGTGTGTGTGTGTGTGTGTGTGTGTGTGTGTGTATGTGTATACACACACACAGTGGAATATTAGCCATAATAAAGAATGAAATATTGCCATTTGCAACAATATGGATGGAGCCAGAGTGTATTATGCTAATTAAAATAAGTCAGAGAAAGATAAATACTATATGATTTCATTCACATGTGGAATTTAAGAAACAAAACAGATGAACATAGGGGGAAAAAGAGAGAAGCAAACCATAAAACAGACTCTTAACCAAAGAGAACAAACTGAGGGTTGCTGAAGGGGAAGTAGGTAGGGAATGAGCTAAATGGGTGATGGGCATTAAGGAGGGCACTTGTTGGGATGAGCAATGGGTGTTATATGTAAGTGATGAATCATGAAATTCTACTCACTCCTGAAACTAATATTATACTATATGTTAACTAACTTGAATTTATTTATTTTTTAAATGTTTATTTATTTTTAGAGAGAGCAAGAGCATGAGTAGGGGAGGGACAGAGAGAGAGAGAGAGAGAGGGAATCCCAAGCAGGCCCCACACTCAGCATGGAGTCTGACATGGGGCTTGATCTCACAACCGTGAGATGATGACCTGAGCCAAAATCAAGAGTTGGACACTTAACTGACTGAACCACCCAGGTACCCCACTAAATGGAATTTAAATGAAAATCTGGAACAAAACAAAATATTCAGTTAAAATATATATTTTTTAAATTTCCAAAAAAGAACACATAATCCAATTAAAAATAGGCAAAGGACTTGAATACATATTTCTCCAAGAAGATATACAAACGGTGAACAAACACATGAAAAATGCTCACATCATTAGTCACCACTAAAATGCAAATCAAACCAAAATGAGGTGTTAATTCACATTCACACCTTGTAGGATAGCTAGAAGAAAAAAAGAAAATTACAAGTGTTGACATGGATGTGCTGAAATTGGAACCCTCACACATTGCTGGTGGGAATGTAAAATGGTTAGGTTTCTGTGAAAAACAATTTGGCAGTTCTTCAAATGTAAAACACAAAATTACCATATGACCCAGAAGACCCAGCAGTTCCATTTCTAGATAAATACCTAAAAGAATAGAAGGCAGGCAATCAAACAAATACATATGCATATGTGTTCTCAGCAGTACTATTCACTACAGCCAAAAGGTAGAGACACTGCAACTATCCAACAACAAATGAACACATAAACAATTTGTGGCATAGTCCATACAATGGAATATTAATGAGACATATAAAGAAATGAAGTACTGATGTGTGCTACAACATGAATGAACCTTAAATACATTATAACTAAAATCAGATGCAAAAGGTCACATACAATTCCATTTACGTGAAATATTTAGAATACATAAATCTACATAAATCTAGAATGCAGACTAGAGGCTGTAAGCAGGAGTGGGCTGAGGAGGGAAATAAAGAACAACTGTTCATTAGATTCAGGGCTTCCTTTTGGGGTATGAAACTGTTTTGGAACTAGACAGAAGTGATGGTTTGCACAACACTGCAAATGCAGTAAATGCCACTCAACTGTTCACTTTAAAACAGTTAATTTTGGGGTGCCTGGGCTCAGTTAGTTAAGCATATGACTTCAGCTCAGGTCATGATCTCATGGTTCGTGGGTTTGAGCCACGTGTTGGGGCTCTGTGCTGACAGCTCAGAGCCTGGAGCCTGCTTCGGAATCTGTGTCTTCCTCTCTCTTTGCCCTTCCCCTGCTTGTATTCTCTCTCTCAAAAATAAATAAACATTAAAAAATGTTTTTAAGTTAATTTTATGTTATTAATTTAAAAATATGGTCTATATAATTTTTTAATATGTGTGGTTTATCTGTCTTTTTTCTTGATTATTCTTGCTACTGACCTTTTGCATCTATTTAAATTTTTTTTACTTGAAGATAATTAATATACAGTGTTATACTAGTTTCAGGTATATAATATGATGATTCAACAATTCTATACATTTCTCAGTACTCATTAAGATAATGGTACTCTTCATACCCTTTATCTCTTTCATCCATCCCTCCACCCACCTCCATTCTGGCAACTACCAGTCTGTTCTGTATTTAAGAGTCTGTTTTTTCCTAAAGCTGGAGGCATCACAATCCCAGACTTCAAACTGTATTACAAAGCTGTAATCATCAAGACAGTATGGTACTGGCACAAGAACAGACACTCAGATCAATGGAACAGAACAGAGAACCCAGAAATGGACCCACAAACGTATGGCCAACTAATCTTAGACAAAGCAGGAAAGAATATCCAATGGAATAAAGACAGACTCTTCAGTAAGCAGTGCTGGGAAAACTGGACAGTGACATGCAGAAAAATGAACCTGGCCCACTTTCTTACACCATACACAAAAATAAACTCAAAATGGATGAAAGACCTCAATGTAAGACAGGAAGCCATCAAAATCCTCGAGGAGAAAGCAGGCAAAAACCTCTTTTATCTTGCCTGCAGCAATTTCTTACTCAACACGTCTCCAGAGGCAAGGGAAACAAAGGCAAAAATGAACTACTGGGACCTCAACAAAAGAAAAAGCTTCTGCACAGCAAAAGAAACAATCAACAAAACTAAAAGGCAACTGACAGAATGGGAGAAGATATTTGCAAATAAAATATCAGATAAAAGGTTAGGATCCAAAATCTATAAAGAACTTATCAAACTCAACACCTAAAAAACAAATAATCCAGTGAAAAAATGGGCAAAAGACATGAATAGACACTTCTCCAAAGAAGACATCCAGATGGCCAACTGACACATGAAAAAATGTTCAACATCCCTCATCATCAGGGAAATACAAATCAAAACCACGAGATACAACCTCACACCTGTCAGAATGGCTAACATTAACAACTCAGGCAGCAACAGATGTTGGCGAGGATGTGAAGAAAGAGGATCTCTTTGGCACTGCTGGTGGGAATGCAAACTGGGGCAGCCACTCTGGAAAAGAGTATGGAGGTTCCTCAAACAATTAAAAATAGAACTACCTTACAACCCAGCAATTGCACTACTAGGCATTTACCCAAGGGATACAGGTATGCTGTTTCAAGGGGCACATGCACCTCCATGTTTACAGCAGCACTATCAACAATAGCCAAAGTATGGAAAGAGCCCAAATGTCCATCGATGGATGAATGGATAAAGAAGATGTGGTATGTATATACAATGGAGTATTACTCGGCAGTCAAAAAGAATGAAATCTTGCCATTTGCAACTCTGTGGATGGAACTAGAGGGTATTATGCCAAGCGAAATTAGTCAGAGAAAGACAAATATCATATGACTTCACTCAGATGAGGACCTTAAGATACAAAACAGATGAACATAAGGGAAGGGAAGCAAAAATAATATAAAAACAGGGAGGGGGACAAAACCTAAGAGACTCATAAATATGGAGAACAGAGGGTTACTGGGGGGTGTGTGGGAGAGGCGGTGGGCTAAATGGGTAAAGGGAATTAAGGAATCTACTCCTGAAATCATTGTTGCACTATATACTAACTTGGATGTAAATTAAAAAAAAAAAAAAAAAAGAGAAAGGAAAAAAGAGTCTGTTTTTTTATCTTTTTTTCTTTGTTTTATTTCTTAAATTCCACATATGAGTGAAATTATGTGATATTTGTCTTTCTCTGTTTGACTTTTTTCAATTAGCATTATACCGTCTAGGTCCACCCATGTCATTGCAAATGGCAAGATTTAATTCTTTTTAATGTCTGAGTAATATTTCATTGATAGCACATCTTCTTTATCCATTCATCTACTGATGAACACTTGGGCTATTTCCCTATCTTGGCTATTGCAAATGCTACAATAAACATAGGGATGCATATATCTTTTCAAATTAGTGTTTTCATTTACTCTGGGTAAATATCCAGGAATAGAATTACCTGATAATTGTATTTTTAATTTTTTGAGGAACTTCCATACTGTTTTCCACAGTGGCTGCATCAATTTGCATTTTCACCAAGAGTTCCATATCAACAAACCATAAAATTCTTAGAAGAAAACATAGGCATTACTTTCTTTCACATCAGCCACAGAAACATTTTTCTCTAGATCCGTCTCCTCAGGCAAGAGAAACCAAACCAAACTAAACTACTGGGGCTACACCAAAATAAAAAGCTCTTGAACAGCAAAGGAAACCATCAACAAAACAAAAAGATAACCTACAGAATGGGAGAAGATATTTGCAAATGATGTATCTGATAAGGGGTTGGTATCCAAAATATATAAAGAATAGAAATAAACACTAGAAAATGTAATCCAATCTAAAAATGGGCAGAGGACCTGAACAGGCATTTTTCCAAAGCAGGTATGTCTATTTTTTAAGTTTCTTTTTTCAGATAATCAGTTTTTATTTTATTGACCCTTTCTTTAGGTTCTGTTATTTTCTTCTGTATGTTTTAAGTTTACTTTGTTTTTCTTATTCTAGCATCCTAAACTTAAAATGTAATTCATTTATTTTCTTCCTCTGCTTTGTTTACTTTATCTTTTTCTAGCATCCTAAACTTAAAATGTAATTCATTTATTTTTCTTTTTTGGGGGTGAGGGGGACTTTCCAATGACCTGGTTTGTTAATAGTTGGTGTGTAAACACGGAGAAGGTACTCAGCAAAATTCAGGGGCACAGGAAAGCATCCACCTGCTGACAAACACTCTTACAGTCTGTGAGCAGCTATTCACAAAGTCCAGTATGTGGAAGCAGACAAAGGAACAGCTGTACCATGGCTCTTCCATAAGAGTAATTTGATGTGCTCTGTAAATGGCAGTCTTTGACCTCATTTAAAGCAGTTAACAACTCAGGAAACAACAGATGTTGGTGAGGATGTGGAGAAAGGGGAAGCTTCTCGCACTGTTGGTAGGAATGCAAACTGATCCAGCCACTCTGGAAAAAAGTGTGGAGGTTCCTCAAAAAATTAAAAATAGAATTACCCTATGACCCAGCAATAGCACTACTAGAAATTTATCCAAAGGATACAGGAGTGCTGATTCATAGGGGCACATGTACCCCAATGTTTATAGCAGTGCTATCAACAATAGCCAAATTATGGAAAGAGCCCAACTGTCCATCAACTGATGAATGGATAATGAAGATGTGGTTTATATATACAATGGAATACTACTTGCCAATGAAAAAAATGGAATCTTGCCATTTGCAACAATGTGGATAGAACTAGAGGTATTATGCTAAGTGAAATAAGTCAGTCAGAGAAAGACAGATATAATATGTTTCCACTCATATGTGATATTTGAGAAACTTAACAAAAGACCATGGGGGAAGGGAAGGGGAAAAACAGTTATAAACAGAGGGAGGCAATCCATAAGAGACTCTTAAATACAGAGAACAAACTGAGGGCTGATGGGGGTTGGAGAGGGAGGAGAAAATGGGTGATGGGCATTGAGGAGGCCACTTGTTGGGATGATCACTGGGTATTGTATCTAAGTGAATCATGGGAATCTATTCCAGAAGCCAAGAGCATACTGTATATACTGTATGTTAGCTAGCTTGACAATAAACTATATTCCAAAACAAAGTCACATCTGAATCTATATTGGATTAGGGAATCTAAGGGTTTCTTTGTGAACAACTTTCTTAAATTTTAATTTTAATTGTTATCTGTGCAACAGTGTTTTTTTTTTTTTTTTAAGTTATTTGTTTTGAGAAGGGGTGGGAGGGACAGAGAGAGAGAGAATCCCAAGCAGGCTCAGTGGTGTCAGCACAGAGCCCGATGGAGGGAGTCTCGATCCCACAAACTGTGAGATCATGACCTGAGCCCAGATCAGGAGTCGGACACTTAATTGACTGAGCCACCCAGGTGTCCTGCAACAGTGCTTTAAAAGTCAAATAGTCCAAAGTCTTTGGTGGTGAAACCTTCAATCAAGAC